ACCATATCGAAATTATATAAATATGGCATTTTATCATTGCTTCTATATTCTTAGAACTGGAAAAGTTTGCAATCGAGGTTGCTATCGGCCTGAAGGGTATAAAGTTCACTGGAATTCTCCACCACGCGTATCTTGTAAAGAATGTGGTAAGTTGACTTATTCTGATTACGATTATTGTGATACTCATACAGATAAATATCGAAGACAGGATCGATATTAGCAGAAGAAGCTAGAGAAGATAGCACAAAATAGTGTTATAGGTTCGAAGAACTATTGCTCTGCAGGCCCGAAGGGGCGACCCTAAAGGGTCATAAAAAATACATAGTAAGTATATATGTGATATCTTACTATAGCCAAGTGTCACCAAAAATTTTTAGTAACAGAAAATTTTCAGAGTCGAGATCTCTGTCAAATTCCATATTTTTAAACTTTTAGAAAGCTTTCTAGATATTTGTCACTGAAAACTCTAAAAATGATCGAATTTCTCCAGCTTTTTTTCTTTTTTTTTATATATGGGTATATTACATATATATAATATATATTGAGTATATATCGGGTATATATCGGGTATATATCAAAGGTATACCATAAAAAAAAGTTTTATTTTTCCTAGATTTTTACTTTATTTTCAGTGACTTTGGTGACAGTATGTAAGAACAAGATAAAAAAGAATTTAAAGCCAAAATTTAATAATAAACCCGTCACCAAAGTTGTTATCAAAGTTGTCACCGAAGATTTTTCGGTGACAGATAGCATACATATAGCATGTCCCAATTGTATTAATTTTTCTACTTATTAAATATTCTATGCGGTATATATTGTTAAAGAATTTAGTATAGATATGGTTGATCTATTTGGTAGCGAAGAAGTATACAATGAGGAATATGAAGTTGAAGACTGTCATGTTCACGAGAATTCTCCTAAGTGTACACCATGTAAAAAGTGTGGTAAGTTAACTTTTTCTAAATATGATCCATGTATAATGCATGCTGGTAAGTATTGATCTTGAGATCATTATCTGCGAAAAAGGCTAGAGAAAATGGCAGAAAAATCAGAAGTGCTTAAAGAAAACTCATAGCGATATTGATATCATACCCAATAGCGTGCGATTATTTTTTATTAAAAATTCTATGTGGTATATTTACATGATAGCATATTTGATAACACCCCCCGATAACATTTATGATGTATATATTAATAGCAATTGTGCATACATGTTTGATAGCATAGCTGTCAGAAATCAGTCACAGGTATCAAATCGGTATACAAATATTGTTATTGAATCTGGGTTATAATAGAAAATGCAGAAGGACTAGGCTAGAGCGTCATAACCTAATTCAGATATTTCTATTCACTGGAAATCGATCAGAATCATTAAGCTGATATACGGAAATTTATATGAGCAATTAAAAGATTATTGATATCAAATTTGACTTCTAAAGGGTATACAAGCTGTCTACTATCTCGACATATAATAGTTAGTATAAAGTCTGACGACATGAATACAAATTTGTCGTCATATTTTTTTATAAGTTATGGGATACCCAAGTGTGACGACAGACTCATGAACTAATCGTCACTTGAATGACGACGCAAGCATGAATCGTTCGTTACTCGAATGACGACGCAAGCGTGAATCATTCGTCACTCGAATGATGGAGCAAATACTAATATATCTCTGATGATGCAAGCACGAATCGTTCGTCACTCAAATGATGACAGGCATATTATCCCGTCATCAGACATAACCTAGATTAAGTGAAAATAACATAATTATGTTATTTCCACTATTCTAGTTCTTGATCTGGATATCAGAAAGTTGTCTCTAGAATTTATGAAAACAACAGTAATAAATTTGTATTTTGAATATCTTTGGATATCTAAAATAACACTCAAATTTCTAATGCATGTAGTCTAATTGCAGGTGTTTAATTTTGATTAGATGTTACTTTATATATCTAAAGTTGTTACTTCAAATAGAAGCTATTCAGATATTACAAAAATTACAATTTTAGAGTATACGTATTTATAATTTTCATCATGTTATATATAAAATATCATTTTTACAGAAGTTTAATATTATTGTAACATTTTATTATCCGAATTATAACTTCTCAATTGCTAAAAACTGATCTCAGAGGGGTGTAGTAACTTAGTGAAGTAGTTAAGTATCACACCCAAGCGACTTTTTGGTCAGATAGGTGGTTCGAAACCCACTGGCGACGAATTTTGAAAAATTCTACTTGTACAATGTTACTGCCGTCTGATTAATAGTTGGAACGAGATTTCTGTAACTCTGGTAGTACCAACAGGATTGGGAGATCATGGGGCATTTGTGTAATGTATAAGTTACACGATAAGCTTCTGGATCATTGTAAACCCAGGGAACTGGGAAGGACGATAGAATACGCTTGGCAAGACCCAAGTAGAGAGATAGCACAGATCTTCAACGATACTACAAAAGAATTGTTACCGAGAGAACTGGTGAAACTGAATAAGACCGAAGTGTTTGGCAAGGCACTCTACCAACCAGGCTGCCGGAAGAGTAACCAGAGGAAAAAGACCCAACCATAGGGACCAGAAGCAGATCACTACCCTTTTAGGCCATCTAGATTGGTAGTTTGGGATTGTTGGAATTAAAAATCGGTGATAGTCTGTAAAGTGTGTACTGGGGTTTGGGTAAACTCTACAAGAGCAGAAGTAGGTAATGATAGCGGCTTTGGCTCGCAAGTACTTGTTCTCGGACTTGACGTAAGTTACTGAAGTCTAGGTTAGCCAGATTGTGGGTATAAAAAGCTCTAGCAAGTTTATTTCAAGAACAAAAGACTTACTGGTTAAGCCTGCTTTAAAGTTCTAAGTCAGGGTTCTCAAGGAATATATTCTAATTTGGTTATATAAAAGGTTGATCCACATAAAGTGCAGAGAGTTTAAATAGGTAACCCTCTAGTCAGGTTGCAGGTATAGTATCTAATGTAGAACTTAGTAATAAGTGGACTACTTAAATAGGCAATCAAAAGTTGTACATGTGGCTAGTATGTATTCTCTAAATATGTATACTGTATAGGTGCCGAGAGGGGCTTAGCGTACAATAAAGTTAATCAATAACTAAATAAAAAGAATCGACCAAGAGATCACCTTAACACCAAAAAAAAAAAAAAAAAAAAAAAAACTGATATCAGAAATTATATATTGTGTTCAAATTACAAATTATAGTACATACATACGTTGTAAAAGGTGAAAATACTTTGGAGTCGGGATAACAAAACTACTACAATATAACAATACATTAAACTACTCTAACTGAACCCTAAAAGTAGTAAGGCTACGATCAAGGTGTTGAAAGACTTGGTCTGAGTAAGTAGAGTCAATTAGGGCTCTAGACTACCTCATGGTTTCTTAACACAGAATCACAGAATTTTGTCATTAATTCTTATCGTTACTATGAGTTTTACTTATCAGGTGAATTAGTAGAGACAAACACTTTATAATGTTGAATTCTAGCTATATTCTCCCAAGTCTACTTTATTGTGAAATGAAAATATATCACTTTTATAAACAATGTACATAAAAATTAATTTACCAGAATTTACTAAAAAATTGCACAAAATTGTACAAAAGTATTGTAATTTTACATTTCTATTTCAGATGCAATAATATATCATGTATTAGATAATCAGTTAGTTTTCAAATATCAACAAATATTTGCTATTTTTTTGGATATTTGATGGTCAAATAAATATTCAAATTCCAATAATTTTAATCAGATCATACCTTTATAACTGTTATACAAATATGTATAAATATACTAAAAATGAGGTATATTAAGTGCAGGTTATCCAACAAGTATCATTCTTGATTCGCATTATATTAAAATTATACGTATATCGATTGTTAAGACGATTAAATACTATATAATCTAGAATCTTTAATGTATCAAGAAAGATACTTTAAATAATGGGTGGCAGTGGGTACAGTAAATAGTCACTATTCATTATATGTCATTTTACAATAGCTTTGTTTGTTGATTTTATATCTCTCTGTTTAGTAATATTATGTAGCCAATTTTTGATCTGTTTTTTTTTTTTTATTATTATACAGTTCTGTCCAGTAATAGTAGCTAAAGTTTTATATACAAAAGCAACCAATATTATATGACCCATTATGATTCTGTCTAGTAACAGTAGCAAATTTTTGTTTAGTTGGTTTTAGTAGTGAATTTTTGTTCAGTTAGTTTTTCTTTGTTATGTAATTCTGTCCAGTAATAGTAGCTAATTTTTGTTTTTGTTGTATATATAAAAATTTCTACAATAAAGCTGTATGCAAAAGCAACCAATTTTTAAGAAATTCTGTAGTGATTGTGGAGTCTTATCATGTGACCCATTATGATTCTGTCTAATAACAGTAGCAAATTTTTGCTTAGTTGGTTTTAGTAGCGAATTTTTGTTCAGTTGGTTTTCTTTGTTATACAATTCTGTCCAGTAACGAAACTTTTCTGTTTGTTTTGTCTTAATAATATTGAATATTGATAGAATTTTATAAATATTTAATGGTTATAAATCGCTATGTAAAAAAAAAAAAAAAACCAAAATGATACTTTATAGAATTGGAATATGTTTTTCATACCAAATGTATTTATTCTGTTTTGTGAACCTAACTCAAGATTTATGCAAATGTGATACTTACCAAAAACCACCTTGTGATAAAACTCCTCAACAAGTTTTTAATTGCCAATTCGGATAAGATCAGCACAATAGCTATATTATTACTACAGTTAAACCTCCATAAATGCAACATATACAGACCAGCCTAAAATGTGTATTTAGAGAGGTTTGCATTTAGAGGAAGCCAATTAAATTGCAGCTTTTAATATTTAATCTGCAAACTTGTGTAACAAACTTAAATACTGACTTCTGATTGGCTACGTGTACTTAGGGAGGTTAGTATGATATAAAAAATCTTTTGAGTGAACATGTATTTGCAGAATATAAAATGTGCATTTAGCACTAATGATTTCATACAGCCAAGACAAAACTGTACATTTAGGGAGGTATTGCATTTATAGAGATTGCATTTAGAGAGGTCTGACTGTATATTTGAAATTGGAAACAATATGTAAATAAATCTGTTTTAGGTACAATAAAAAGTTTTTTTATACTAAGTAAATATTATTTTTGGCTTTAAGTAAAGTTGTAGAGCAGGTTCTTGTGCATCTACTAGTAAATTTTTAATAAAATTGAACTTGTAAATAAGAAGATATAAGTAAAAATGTTTTTAAAATTCTTTAAATCATATAAAAAATATATATTAGTAAATCTGTTTTAGGCATAATAAAAACTTTTTTTTATACTAAGTAAATATTATTTTAGCTTTAAGTAAAGTTGTAGAGCAGGTTCTTGTGCACCTACTGGTAAAATTTTATTAATATTAGACTTGTAAGTAAGAAGATATGAGTAAAAGTATCTTTAAAATTCTTTAAATCATATAAAAATTTTATATATACAAGCCTACTTCAAATTTCATACTACATTGTTTATCTATTTGTTTTGCCCCAATTCTAAATATGGGGTCATCTAAAGTGGAGTAGAATCATGTGATATCTGACCAATCAAATTATAGAATTTTGATGATCGCTGGTGAAGCAAAACAAGAAATAAAAACGAAAAACCTGAAAAATACAAAAAACGATAGTCTAAACCTACCCCAGGTAGGTTAATTAAAAATGTTGAGAAGGCAATTTTGCTTATATCTAACTATCTAAAACCTAGCCTAACTCAAATATAAGATGACCTTAACCTTAAAGTTAATTCAATAAAATATATATTATAAGAATCTGCTTCGTTTTAGACGTCCTCTAAATATGAAAATAGTGCTGATCTTATTTGGATTGGCAATTAATAGAATTTACAATCCTAATAATATCCAAACAAATCAAAAACTATTTCTTCAAAATTGTAATCATCTTTTCGCATATGACTGTAATTTTAATCAATCGTTTAATTTTAATCTTTGTTCAAGATGTCATTCGTGATATAATCATGTTAAAAAAAGCTTTAAAGATACAGAAATTTCTTCAGCTAC